AACCTTTGAAGGGAGGGGCTGCCCAGCTTGGAAGTGGCAGATCCTAGAGAACTAAGACTAACTCAGGACTCTAACTCCATTTTTTTCTATTTAGAATCTGCTCATTCAGTCCCCTAACACATCTTCCTCAAAGGAGGTTGAGAGGAGCAAGAGTGGAAAGGCCAAATCAGCATGTAATGGTGTTAAAAGAAATAGTGCCGCACATTCACTTACCAAATATAATTCGCTGCCCTTTGAGACGGCACTTTGGCTAAACATCTCTCAGGGCCAGTTTCCTCCTCCGGAAAATATCTTTCCTGACAGGATGCAAGAATGAAATCAGTAGCATCTGTGTAAGCACATAAATGCATCATATACGTAAGTATGCATAACCAGTAGTGTTGAAAGTATTTTGCAAACAATGAAGCAGTATTGCTATCATTTGAAAGCTTTGGAGTCCTGGCTTCTGAGAGACCAGCAAATGGAACTCACTCTAGGACCCTTGAAAGGCCTGGCTCTGGTGGAAGTCCAGCAAGTGGTGGTTTTGGTCTCTTGGCAGGCCAAATGCCTCTTGGCATAAAGAAGCTGGGAGGAGGATGGAGGAAGATGGGCCTGCTCATGGCCTCTACCTGGCTTTGAATCCCCTAGCTCAGGGGGCAGGGCCAGGTGGCATAACCTTTTGTTTGGTGAGTCAGCTAAGAAGGAATCCACAGAGCTCTGCTACCGACCGTAGGGCAGCATACACGGGATTTCACGAGGAGATACAGGTTCTCTGAAAGGTGGGAGCAGGTTCGGCGATGACAGTCAGACAAAAGCACTCAACACCGAGGTGAAGTTTGCCAATGCTGCTGCAATTTTATTTCTAACTCCAGGTGTTTATATACTAGTTTCAAGGGCACGCCTCAAGAGTGATTCCAGTCACAGGCAGGCATAAGATAGACAATAGTACTGTAAAAATTAAGACCACAAGGTCAAGGTAAGACCACACCTCTATACCATCACAAAAGCTAAGACCATTAAGTCAAGGTAAGACCACACCTCTATACCATCACAAAAGCTAAGACCATTAAGTCAAGGTAAGACCACACCTACACGCAGTCAGAAGGGGAAGTTTGTAAGACAAAGGACTGGCTTTAGCATGTCACCTTCAGGTTCACCTTCAGGACTTCACAGTCCGGGGCTCAGGGTCAGCACTTTGGCCGCCCGTCCTCTTGTGCCTCAATATCTTCACATCTCTAGGAACATCTAATTGTTCCTAACCTTTCCTGGGCCCAGAATACAATTCTACAGATAATGAACAAATAGTAATAAAGACAAAATAGAACAGAATTATAGATGAACCCAATGTCCCCAAACTGCAGGCAGAGAGGCCAGCTATTCTCTTCACGGCTGACTTCGCATGCGGTGTGTGCCAAGGACCTCCAGGAGGCTTAACCCCGTGGGGACGATACCTCTGGTCTGGTTTCTGCCAGGTGACCGGCATTGTCACACAGACTCTACTGGCGTGGTCGTGGCAGTTCCCGCTTTTTTGTTTTTTAGCCGTAGAACAGCGATCTCTGTCTGCAGCTGGGACAGGGCTTGAGAAAAGATTCTAAAAAAGCAAGGGAAAAGAATTAGAATTATGCAAATAATGCAAAAAATTATAATTCCAACTATAGTATAGTGGACCCAGGAAAGGGGATTTAATGCCTTCAGTGACGAAGATAGGGATGAAGTTAAATCTTCCACTGAAGTAATGTCCAGATGTGACTGGCTTAATGAGGTAATTTGTGACTGCAGTGAGGAAATGTCATGTGATACATTATTATTTTGCCAAATGCCTAATAGGTGCAAACGAGTTTTTTCCCATTCCTCAGAGGCATTATATTTTAATGGAGTAACACAAATGTAATTATAATTGGCATGACATTTAGTTGCCATTCGAATTTTAAGATTGTTAACATCTTGGCCTAAGGCTAATAAAACTTCTTCCAATGCGTTCAATTTTGATTCAAACTTCTTGTCTATTTGTTGTTGTTCTGTCAATGCTAAGGTGATATTTTTCTGCATTTCATTAACATAATTAGCTGTATGTACCTCTTGTACTAAGGCTGTGGTGGATATTGCAAAGGTAGTTAACAAAGCTATTAGTGCTGAAATTCCTAAAATTAATGCTGCTACAAAACGTTTAGGGCGTATAAGAGCATTAAGAGATTGTAAAACTTGCATTGCAGAATTATCATACCATGGTTCATTATTCAAATGTACAGGTAACATTACATAGGAAGGCTGTTGTACAATAAGCATGATTGAATATGACTTATTAAAGGCAGAAGATATACAGTTGGTTAAAATACAATTTTTTCCCAATATCTTATAAGTAATATTATATAAAAGTTGAAAATTTTCAGGATTACATAACAATAGTGCATAAGGATAAGATATACATGCTGACACTATCAAAGGTTGAGGTACCTGTTCATTTGGTTTTCTAAACAATATCATATTAGCCGAAGCTGCAAGACGAAAAAGCTCAGGGTGCTGAGCTGCATAAGTATTGTTTTTTGTATAAAACCAAATAGGTGTAACATAACCAGCTGAGAACCATCTTCTAAGTGGCTCTGAATCTTTGAAAGTATACCCATTAAATTTATTGGTATTATTATTAATGTAGGCTGTATAATTATAATTAGATGAAGTAGAATAATCCCAGATATTTTCTTGATCATGTAATAATTGATATTTGCTACCTTGAGGAGGAAAAATACATTGAAGCCATTTTGGATATTGATTTTCAGTTGTCCAAAACTGATCAATATCCCTATAATTTATAATGCATTCAGTAGCTGGAACTTTTGGACCAGATTGAAAAGTCTCATTATAATTGGTAAATCCCAAAGTTTGTAATCCTAATTCCCACATAAATCTTTTTTCTTTTTTACCTGAGGATCTGAGCTGTGGAGAGTCGGTAAGAAAAGTGCGGTAGCTTAAAGGAAGACAACCTGTTGGAGCCCTTCCTCTAAAAGCTAAACACATTGGGGCGGAGTCAGAATATCCTTCGTAATGAGGTATTTCTGACTGTGAGGAAACAATATGAAAGTCTGGAGAACCCCCCAGGAGTTCAGAGTAATTTGTCATGACTTTTATATATTGGGGATGGCCCCATCCCACTGGCTGAACAACCGGGGGTTTAGGTACATAAGCCCAATAGGTTTCTGCTGAAATAGGAGAGGATAAGACTGCTAACATGGCCAAAAATATATGTATGGGTGTGGCGGCCTGATTTGCAACCTCTAACACCTGTAAAGCTTCTTTAACTAAATTTTTCATCTGGGTTGCGGTTGGTAGTTTCCGCGGAGCACCAGCTTCAAGTGACATTTTCTGCATCTGCTGCGGAAGTTTCTGTGTCTGTCGTCTGTGTTTCTTCCGCTGGCGTCTTGATATTACCTTGCTGGTGAGGCCGGATGAGTCGGTCTGGGATCCAGAGGGGGGAGTCTTCATTCTGTGGAAAAACACAAGCAAAAACCCCTTCCCCAACTGGGGGTGCATAACCAATTTAAACTCAAGAGGGTGATGTTCTCTAATCGGCCCTTGGGGTCCCTCTACTTGAATGAGGGGGAATAGTCTAAAGATTTCCTCCCCTTGAGCTGCGGCATGTTTAAGAGCCTCTTGTAAAGGAGATACTATGCCTTGAGACCCTTCTCCTGCAAGCATCTCATAGCTCGCTAAAGCTACTCCCGCCTGTTGATTGCGGTGCGCAGTCACTCTGCATTGTTCGGTATAATTAGTCACCCATAGGAGGTAATCTCCTCCTGATAAGACAGCTTTGCTGACTGCCTTCCAGCTCCCTACTGCTAACTGAGTTATTAATTCTAGAATAGGTCTGCCTACACGCATCTGAGCTGC